CTATCCCACACCTTTGGAGCTTGCCCAGGAGGATGCTGTGAGGGACAGTGTCAAAAGCCTTGCTCAAATTTTAACTTTAAACACACATTAACTGACGGAAGTCAGAAACTACTGTGCTTAGTAGTTTACAATATAACAAATCTCTTGGATTCAAGATTGAGCAAACTAGGTATGTCAGTTTTTGTGGTATGGGAGCTTGTTGTAGATTAGGATTAAATTCTAATAAAAAAAGACTACAGTCTGAGTAAAAGGACTAAACCGTTAATAAAAATTTGCACATTTTTAGTGTATGAACATTTAACCTAAACCTGAACTGTGGGCACTTTCCTTTTCACATAATTTCATGGAATAGGTTGTCCCTTTTTCTCTGTAGCAGCCTGTRTTTTCGCAGTGATATGCACACATTTATTATCTTTCTAGTATATATTTGTGTATTATATAAATCTGTTTTCCTCTCTTCTGTGTATGAAAGCCACAGAGAACTGAAAGTAACGATACAAAGTGCAGAGTACAAGCAATTATTTGTTGCCCAGTAAGTGAAAAGAAGTTTGCAGAAAATCACTGATCTCTTAATTCTAGTGATTCTGTGAATTGATGAAACAGTGATGATAACAAACGCTATTATGATTACTTTGCAGAAATTAATGTTTTTTTAAATTGTCACTCATTACCATAAAATGAAATAACTGACAATAATGTATTTTATTAAGAAAAAGTCAAGAATGTGCCAACAGTTAAGGGAGTAGCAGTTACCCTGCATGTCCCTGTATGGTAATTATGCATATCAGTTTCTTTACTTGCATCTGAGCTGTCAAGATTCTGGATAAGAGCTTTTTTTCTTTCTTAATTTTATGGTAGTGTATGCAATGGGTAGTATCAGATTAAATTCTGCTATTCATTCTCGTGTTATTTATGTTAAGATTTTGCTTGACAAATTACTTTATGAAAAGTGGAGTYATTATTCACCTGTGATCTGCCTGCAAAAAGACCTCACTTTTGAGGTATGGTCTGTTGCACAGAGGTGCAAGTTTCCATTCAACTTCATCTATGCTGTTTTGTTGGTTTGACAAATGTAAAATATATATATATACACACACACCTATATATATACACACACACACACACACATATATATATATATATATGCATATATATATATATAGGTAGGAGAGCCACACACCAAGCCAGGTGCAGTAAAATCTTGGGGAAAAAATGTATTTTTTTTTATACTTCCATCTTTTAATGGGCTAGCTTACCCTCATCTATGTTGGTGGTTAATGTTAATGAAGCTCAAGTTGTAATGTAAATATCTGTATGAATGACAGCATGGGAAAGCCTGCCMCCAGAAGAATCACCATGCTAAAGTCATTGTATATTGTACTTAAGAAATTTCTTCCTTAGAATCCTTTTTTTTTTTCTCCTCTGTCTTTATACCACATCAGAAAAAGAAAATGAGAAGAGATTGCAGCTATAGTACTTTAGCAAATTAATTACGATAGGAAAAATACACTTGCTATTTGTACCTCAAATTTAACAGCCATTCTGTGTTCCATAGAGTCTCTTACTGACCTGATTATGAGCTATCAGGTATCAAAGACCCAGTTCCAGATGAGGAAATGAAAGTAGAAGAAAAAAAAATCATATCAAATCGAACAAAAAAGTTCTAAAAAGCATGGGAACCTCCTGAGAGAAGAGTTTGTTTGGTGAGAATCACAGAATGGTTGAGGTTGGAAAGGACCTCTAGAGATCATCTGGTACAACCCCTTTGCTCCAGCAGGGACACCTAGAGCACATGGCGTGGGGGAATATGTAAAATGGATTGGCTTCAGTTATCCAAAATACAGTCAGTGGTATGAAGATCTGGTTGTTGTATATCAGGTATTTAGTATAAAGAGAACCTCGAATTTAGTTTTTGCTGCCTGAGAGAGAGCATGTTTGCTCTCTACTTAACGCGCATAAAATTTTGGGGATGGAAGAAATTGGCTTTCTAGCACATCAGTGTCCTGTTGAATGACTCAGATTGGTGCAGCTTGCTGATGGACACGCTGTATGGGTGTTACTGCAGTGTTTGGAGTAGATCAATCTTTAAAGCTTTTTTATAAATCACATTCATTTAAAAACAGATTCATTGCTGTGGGGGGTTGGGAGGATTAAATGCTAATTAAATGCTTAAAATGCTAATTGCAATTGTGTTAGTACTTTTTTAAACAAAAAACAATATAAGGAAACCAACTGAGAATTAATAACATRCAACAAATGATTAAAAGCACAGTGATTAAGAAAATAATTCATGCAGTTATGCTATATCAAAAATGAGGAATGAAAATTTTTAAGAAATAGACTTGTACTGCTGCAATCATTAGCGAGATTTTTAGAAAGATTTTCTCTCAGTTCAGCTGATATTATGTATTCTGTAATATCGCCTCTTGTGTTCCTTAGAACAAGATATCTTGATAACAAATAACATCATATGAATTAGAAAAGAACTTTTAAGAACATATATGTTTATATAAGCTCTTCAACCATCAGGAGATGCTTGCGTTTTGAATAGAAGTTCTACTCTAGAAATATTTCTTATTAAACCTTAGAAATGGTTTGCTGTAAGTCAACATTTTCCACCTGAACACATTAAAAATATGATTATCGGGCCATATGACATAGCTGAGGCGTGTAGATGTGTCGTAAGTTCTGAGACCAGCTGTGAGTATCCAACATGCCACAGAATAGTCATTGGTGAAAAAAAAAAAAAAAAGGTGATGTGACTTGATGAGAGCAAACATAGGAAAGCCTCAGGCAAGCATCAGCAGAAAGGACAAAAGAAGAGCAAATAAACAAGATCTTCTTTAGCGTATTGAGAACAACTATTTTGCATTATGTTACAAAATTTTACTTTGAGATTTCCTTCTCTTTGGCTTTAATTCTACTGCTTTTCATAGAGTTATTTCTGCTTTGAACCATGGAAAAAGAGAAAAGAGTCGTTCTCATGTTGCCCTGAACTTGCAAGATACCATTACATATGCTAGGCAGAGCGAGATTTGCATAATTATGTGCCCATTTGCAAATATTAAGTTGCTTAATTAACTTTCAAAAGCAGGCATAAGTATACTTAGGCTTCATGACTTGTTGCTGCTTTCATAACACACCTGTGTTGCTTCCATTTCCTTTTTCTTTTTTTTTTCTTTTCTTTCTTTTTTTTTTTTTTTAATAAAATTCATTTGGATTATATTACAGCTGAAGAGAGTGAAGGATGGATTGTTTATGGGCAGTTTCACTAAGGAACAAAATATGGTAGATTGTATGATTCAGATGCGTGCAGAGACCAATGTATAAACTTTTCAGACTAAACATTATTTTAACTACTGTAATAAAATATTTCTAGAAAGAATATTTCTAAAATTTTTAAATCTGCTTTGTTTTCAGGCATTGCAATTTCTGATGAACTTGATAAGGTAAGATTCACTGTTTGCCTAATGAACACTAAAGCCAGACAGATGGTAATGGTAATTCAAGGTGATGAGAAAGAAATTTCTCTGTCCTGATATACATACTTCTGTTCTATTGCATTCAGAAGGAATTWGGGTATGGAGAGCTGTTGAATAAGTGCTGTACATGTGCATACATTAAGAGCTTAATCCAGGATGGGCTCTCAATTTTGGAAAAATCTCATTCAATTTAAGAGACCCTTAATGAGCACAGGTGAAAACTTCTGAGTTTGATACCATCTATATGTAACATCATCTATTGGGTTAGCTTAATGATATACTGCTAGGAACATTTAGCTTTAAATACTTTCAATTCATGAAGTCATATAGTTATACCCAATAACTGTATAATTACCTTATCTCAAATATTATGGTGCATGAAAATCCTTGGAAATATTCTTCACTCTTTAGATCTARTTAGGAATGCACAATCCACAAAAATCAATCTTCATTTCCTTGGTGAATGCAATATGTCATGATATTTTCCATTTTGGCCCTTTTGAGAAGTTACATAGTTTATGTGAATTTAAATTTTAGTTGTAATAATCTCTATGCTGACAGAGCAGGTAAGCAAATTTTTCAGATTATTCAGGAATATAAAACACTTTCCTCTTCCCTGTTCTCAGCACTGAACAGTGGTCCTTTTTTAGTATAAGAATCTTCTGTTATTTTCATGGTATCAGAAATCGTTACTATCAAGATAAAAAAGCATGACAAGCACAGGACTAATTATTAATATAGGAGACATTTTTTTTTTTTTGCCCTTGTCTTTCTTTTCTCCCGGCAAAATGAATCCTTTCTGCCGCCAATGCCTATGCGGTACAACCCATGGCTTCTCAGGAAGGACAGGATCGTACAGTCCTGTGCATAGGGGGCTGCAACTGCAAAACAAACACTCATCATTTTGACCTGGATCTTGCTCTATCTCGTTTTCCACACTGAGGGGGATACAGAATTCAAACCTTCCTTGCTATTATTTTTCAGCTATGCTCAGAACAGTATGAGAAATGCAGTTAGAAAAGCTCTTCCATTTGAACAATCTTTAAAAATATGTACAAACAATTCTTTTTTTTAGTGGAAAAAACATGAAATATCACTGTTTTGTGGGAATAAAAAAACATTTTGGGCTAGAGCCTCTATGACATGATTCTTCCATTTTGTAGGAGCTCAAAAATCATTCATGCTTTTAGATGTAACAGTTCTGTGTGAAAATTTAAGTGRAGAGCATCACTGATTGGTTTTCTGGAGTCTGAACAAAGAGTGAATTTTTTTTTATTATCACATTATTTTATTGTTTATAATCTAAAATCAAAATATTTAAAAAGTAGTTTAAAAGTATAAATATTTAAAAAATTAAATATTTATAAAACTTAAGATACATCTTTTCAATGCTCTCTGGCACCTTTACAGTTGTGCATTTACAGTGTCCATTTCTGAAGAGAACAAGTAAAGGGAGTATGCTTGAAATCAAATACTATTTGGAGGGAAGAAAACAGAAATACAGAGCTCTTAATATTTGTGTTTTTTCCTAGCCTTATTTTAAAGGCTTCCAGAATGCATTCACTGAAAACATGTAATTTGTAGACTCCGTTGTCTTAGAGGAGTTTCACTGCTATTTCTTATCATGGCCCTCAGGGATTTTTAATGGACATAAAGGCTATTTCTGTTTTCAGAGATAAAACATAGCYAGGATAATTCTGTTGTATGGAACTATCTAAATTCAAGTTGCTAAGCTCCCTTTGCAGCAGGAATGATCCCTTGCATGTACTAACTCYTGAACTGCACCTGTGACTTGTTTGTAAAAGTGTTAGGTTAAAGAGGATCTGGGGACTATATGATAGTAATTTAACAGTGTATTTAGTTTAGTTTCATTTCACCTGGACATGGCCTAAGCAATGTGGTTCCTTTTTTCTTTTTTTCCTAGGAATAAATGTAGCCAAGCTCATTGTTATTCCCTTCCCTGCTGATACTGCRGCTTCCTTATCTGGGCTGCAGCAGTGCTGAATCCTTTCTCAAACCACACTCTAATTTGTGTTTTGGATTAATCTTTTGGCCTTTCAGGTACAAGTGATTGGGCTAGAACAGCATGTCCAAAGTTGGCATTGGATTCTCTTCTAGAATTTGTATTGCTTAGATGTTGTGAGCGACATGAAATTAAGCACAGTAAGAAATTCATCTGCACACTCGTCCTTGCTTTGTTTTTAAGAAAAGCGGGAACAGTCTTGGGAATTAGGATAGGGCCTATAATCTTGCTCTTCTGCAGTTTACTTTCTGAATCAAGAGAAGATAGTGAATATGTATGGACATTTCTTTATTTTTGTTTCCTCTTATGTATGCTTGCAAAAAGCCTCTTTCTGACTGCGGTAAACTATAGCTACCCCTTASAGGAGTGTGTTGGTCAGTACTGTTGACTGATGTCCCTGCTTCTCCAGATAATCTAGTTAACTACTTACTTGCTTAGTTACTCAAGCGTTTGGATTTGGAAAACCAGTTTGCTCTCAATTACAATCACTTTTGTGAAGAAGCCTTCAATTTAAATATGAAGTCAATTAAGACTTGAAATAAACTGCACAGTACTGCAAGTACTGTGTGTACAGAAAGAAAATGGGGAGACATGGTGTGTGACTCAGATTTTAAAACTGAAGTGCAGAGATAATGTAATACAAACTCCTGAATTGAGTCACCGTCTTTATGTGGCATTCCTAAAGCTCCTCATTAATATCAAAAATTAATATCAAAGGAGATACCCATTTTGAGTTATGGTAATAACTCAAATATATATAATAATACCTTTGCTGTGAAAATTTATGAAATTGTTGAACTGAAAATTTATGAAATGGTTAAAAAACTATAAAGAAAAAATTAAAAGTGATTTGTGATGAGTTTCAGGATTTTTCCCAAGTCTGTTAGGACTTCCCTGGGAAGCAGAAGTTCCAGTTCACGCAGAACTGCTGTGTGATACATAGCAATAAAATGTAGCTGAGATACTGCAGTGCAGAAATAAGTTTAAATGGCATTTATGCAATTGTACCTGTATTGGTAATATTTCTGGACAAGGCCATACAGGATACGAAGTCAAATCCACTACCTCTTGACACAGTCAGAGACCTAAGTTAATATTAAAAAATAAATTAAAAAGGGGGATGGAGAGGAAAAGGATTATTCCTCTTCTACCTTTTCATTCGCTAAAGAATACYTTCTAAATATTTTCCAAGCCTTTTCCCCCTGCAAATATAAAAGATTTACAAATATAAATATATAGAACATATATAGTCTATACATTATATAACACAATGGATAGAGATATGTTTTTAAATAAAATATGAGATGGACATAGAACTTTTTACTATATGCTTAAATGAAGGGTTCCACAAATGTTGCTATACTCCCAGAAATGGAATGAGGTGACAATGAGGTGACATCCAGCTGTCTTCCCCTTCTCCTCCTGATTGCCACGTAAAGGAAATAGGAGCATGTCAAGTTGGTAACCACTGCTGTGGATGGTAAATGACACTGGAATGAACTGGAGGGCACTATAAAATAGTGCACTGGAGTGCAGTATAAAATAATTTTCTAGATTAATTTCAGTGCAGATTTAAATACCTTCTCCCAAAGAAATTTTTGTGTATACCAAAGTCGCTTTCAATTTCTTCTGRTATTTATAGGGATATAAATTGGAAAATGGTTAAGATTCTGAATTTTATATAAAAATGCATATATTAGCTTACCTGTGACAGAATACTTGATCTGAATTTAATGAAACTTTTGAAGATGTCTCATAATGGCATGGTGTTTTACTGTTCTCACCGTGACTGCTTATGTACTTAAAAGGAAGAAAATAAAGTAGATCATTGCAATTGTGGAGTATTAATCTACCAAAATTCTAAAATCAGTGAGGCAAGACACATCTTTTTTACAGTTCTATTAAACAGAGCTTGAAAACATTACTATAGAGGATGGTCTAGTCCCTACAATGTTTAGAAAACAAATCAGTATAAAAAAGATAGGATTAATGGTTTATTTATTCTTATGCTATTAGCACAGTGTACAGTGTCAACAAAAGGTTGTGATTCTGAAAAAAAGGCAAATCTTTAAGTGCTCTGCCCTTTCATTTTAAAGAACTAATAGCTTTTAGCACATTTGAAACTGCAAGTAGATGTAGGTTTAACTAGCACCAACAGCCCGTTTTCTTCATTGTTAAAAATTATCCCAGGGAGAAAGGAAGGAGAGCARACAGCTAAAGTGGTAGGAGAAGAAAGCCCAAAGGGTTCTTACTTAAAGCAACTAATACAATAGAGCTTCTGCAATGATGGTATTTTGTGCAGTGGAATAATCTTCATGTTGGTAGGCACATGGTGGTAGTCAGAGTTAGACCTATCATGTGATGTGAACCACTGTCATCTAATTTACTTGGCTATAAMCCAGCACAAGTAGATAATTAAAATGTATATTTTAACTACTTAAAAGAAACACACTAATGGTTAGAAATTCTAAAACTGCTGAAACCATACTGTTTTCCTAATTTTTCTCTCTTCTGAGATGGGAGAAAATCAATATTGATATCAATCTCATGTCAACCTTGCAAAAAATAGATATGTGTAAAAAGTGAATCTAGTCAAGTGATGGAGAACTCTGAACAAAGATACAGAGAGTGGAGTGATAATGCCCTCAAAAGCATATCATAGAAAGAGAACAGAAGAACAAGGGTGAATAAGCTTAATCCAGGACCTAGTCTGTATTTGACTCTGTCAGATAAAATTTCTTGGGCTTCTCCTGAATAAAATGAAATTATGACATGTAGGTAGAATGGGATAAAGTGTTCATATAAAAATACTTTTTTTTTTTCCATTTCAGGATTAGAGACTTTTCTTTCAGATTGTGCTTTCAGGATGATCTGAATCAATTTAATCATTAGCAAGATACTTTTAAAGGGTTTGTTTTTTAGAAAGATAAGAAGGTATGGTTACTAGCTAAGTAATCACTGATGCTCTTTGTTTTAGAAAACATTATTTTATAGCAGGAATATTTAATGAGATGCTGAGCTGGATAACAGCCAAAAGGATTTATCTTCCTAAAAATTTCTCTCATTAGAAGATAGGAATAGAATATATCACTTCTAATTAGGAACACTGTGTTTGAAATGCCTCTCCTAACCTAGAAATGGGTTTAATTAAAACAGAAAAAAATATTCCTATCCTCTCATTTCATTGTGGTAATTTTTATTATGCCTTTTTTTTTCTTTTTTTTTGGCCTTAATTGACTATGCCATTGTACATAACCTTCCACTGCATGCAACCATAGTGCTATGAAGAGAACTTCAGAACAGCTKTTACCACACAACTTACATGGACAATTTGTTTCTTTAATCTAAATTTCTAATGTAGTGATGCAAACCATCAATATTGTTTTGAATAATCTGGRTATGTTTCGTTTACTTTTTGTAATCTTCTGTACCTATCTTCTTCCAATAAGTGGTAGAATATATGATTACTATTTTCAGAAATGCATTTTATTGGAATGTTAATGCATTTCTAGAATTGAAAGATACATTATATAAAATCTCAGCAGAGTTGCTTTTAAAATTTCCAAAGAAGATTTATGTATTAATTTTGCAATAAATCATAGTGATTGTGCTGTTTATTATGCAAGAAATTCAAGTATCTGTGGCTTAGCATAACTGATATAGGACTTKTTTTAAGACTAGTGTGCTTATTTAAAAAAAGTTAACTTTTCAAGATGGAACTAAATGAAGTCCAGCTTTCTACAGTTGCTCTTGAAAAGCAAGGAAGAGGAGAGATTTGAAACATCAGGATAGTCAGATCTCTTGGAATTTTGCTAGTAAGATTCTTTTCAATAGTCCATAACTGTTTGTGGGTGTTACTTTGGCCTCTGAATTTTTTGTATGTTGTACAAAAAACAACATACAAAATGTTTCGATGTTTCTTTTCTTTTCCTGCTTACCAGTGTGGTGGGTTCAGAGTTTTTCTTTATTTCTTTTCAGGATACAACAGGTTTTAACACTCCTCTTCTCAGACCTCGTGTAATTGGAGAGTGGGTTGGTCGTGAAGAGAATGATGCAGATCCACTGGCTGCTGAGATGTTGCAACCACCGATACCAAGAAATAAAAATGAACAGTGGGACAGTGAGGATAGCGGCAGTCCTGGAGGAAGGTGGGATTTTGGTTTTCCCTAGAAATCTTACAAATTGTGGAAAAAGAGTTTTTTCTTTAATGTCCTAAAATTGGAACAAAAGGCTTTTAAATTCCCAACTGTAGTGTGGCAGCATGCAAAATGTATGGGACGCATTAATTTGTCTTCCAAGGCTTTTGCCTGTGGTTTATCTTTATACTCATCTGCAATCCCATTTTATTCCTGTGTAAAGCTAAGTGCATGTTAATAAGATTGGGACCTATGCTTAATAATTTTATACTGTACAGCTTTAATCTGATATGTCAAGCCCTACTGTCCTTCAATAGGTAGAATCTTGATGATAAATCAGATATTCCCATTTAAATGAAAGTTTTTAACAGGATTTCTAAGATTAACTTTCAGTTCTTCAAAGTAGCACCTTAGTGTTAATGGTAATCCTTTCTCAAAGACAAAATTGTATTCTCCGCAGTAAATACTTGCTGCAGTCAGTTGTAACTTTGCTGAGGATGGGGGCAGTCTGCTTCTTTGTTAACTTGTTTCTGCCACACAGAAGAGGTGATTGCTTTTCCAMTGAGTACATTCTCCACAACTTAAAKGTGCCTGTTTCTCAACAAAAGTGAAGTAAGCACAGATGCACAGCCTGTTTTTAAAAATGCTTTTTTTCCCCCTTTGCTGTAAAATTCATGCAGGAGGTCTATTGATTGTCTGAACACCTCCTGTTTTCTCTCCAAATTGTAGACTTTGTCACTGATTATACCTAGAAAACTAATTGCAACAGACAGTTTTTCTTTTTCCTTTTCTTTTAAGAATGCAGAAAGCCTTGGCGACTCCAATTTCCCTTTGGAAAGGTCTAAGATATTTCTTCACTATGTCCTTGATGCATCTTTCACATTGAAATTCACCTCCCTGTACCAGGGAAACTGGTCCTATCACTTGCTGTCCTCTTACGGGTCACATTCATTAGATTTCTTCATTTCCTCTTTTCATCAGATGACTGTGGGATAAATTGCACATACTGCTATTTCAAAGAAGTAGCAATGTGTAGCAAAGATCCCTCAGCCACACTTTGGACTGAATCAAGATGACTAATACTGCACCTGTGTGGCGCTATTACTGGGAAAATAATGGAGTCAGAAGCTGACATTACAGCTTGACTGTGAGGTCTGCTTTTCTATTTTTCCCTAATTTAGCAGTYCAATAAGGAAACTCAATAAAGATCTGTTCCATGTTGCAGGGAGTACAGTGGTTGTTGTAGCCCCTCTCTCAATGGGAAGGAACAGAAGTCGCATGTCTGAACTCTGAAAGGGTGCACAAAGGTTTAGTGCTGAATAACAAAGATTCAAAAAAGTGKTTTTTTTTCTGTAGAAGGAAGCAAAAGCTGTGAGAAATCCCACAGCTCATGCTTTAATGAAAGCTTGGCTTTAAAAGTATTTAAAAAGCTTTACTAAGTGTCATGACAAAATCACCATTGCCTGGTTGTGTGGAGTAATGAGAATTCGTAGTACTTGATGTCAGGAAGGAATCATGGGAAACATATCTCTAGTTTTAAGTACAGTGAGTACTGAGGAGCTTTTGAAAAATATGTGTCATTAAGTGGGAATAGTGATTTTCAGTGAAAATGAATAACTATTAAATTACATGCAGCATATGGATTACATTTGGATGACCCAGTTTATGTCTGGGATAATTCTTCACTTCTTTAGCATCACATTAGGTTTTCTAAGGCATATATAAGAAACATGTTTGCAGTCTTACAAAATACATGCAAAATTGAAGAACTTCATGATAGTGATGATATCAAAGCTGATGTGATCTATGTATGGAAGTTCAAATGTGCTCCAAATGTATAAGCAAAGGAATGGGTAATATTAATTTAATTTTAATGTAGTGTACACATAATACATATAAAAGTAATGGGAAGAGTATTGTCTTTATTAGGCTAAATGAAACTCTCAAAAGAGTAAAGTTGCTATTGCTTACTTTCGTTGATCTATTTCACAGCCAACAGAGCCAAATAATTCAGTTGCATTTTTATCTGGCAACTGAAGGCGGCAGCAATTCAAAATTCATGTTACGTGTTTCTGATTACATCTTTTAAAATCTGATTTAAAAACATTACAAAAAACTTTTATTAAAAAGTGATAGCTTATCAGTCACTTTTTATCATGATTTATGTGACATGCCAGGAAGCTCTTGAAAYTAATTCTAATTAAGCTACAGAATAAGAGTTACAATAGCAGAGTAAGAGTGTCACTGATCACTAGTAGGGTTATTTCCATCAGTGCCTAAAGCCACAAATTCTCTCTGTACCTTGTTTTCACAAAGCACAATGTATGTTTTCTTTTTCTGTTTACTGGAAGTCCTAGGTTTTTAAAAAACTCAGCATTCTATAGGGGACAAAATAGAAAGGTGTACTTCTGTGGACCACTGCTCTTTTGGTTACATGTTTCCTTTTCCAGTATTGTTCTTTTCAACATAAGGCAGAGCATAGTAAGTAATCACAGTGCGTGCAATATGCAAACCTATGAGTTGCTTGATTTTTCTGTCACTGCAGTGTGAACTTCAGTTTTTGCTCCACTCAGTAGTGGATAGTGGAAGGAACCACTGTTGCCTCCTTAAGAACATAYATTCCTGTAGTCGGGAGCAATAGATGCTTATATGTTGTATATCTGAAAATCAGGCCAACTTGCTTAAAAAGCAGTGGAGTTAAATTTGAGCAACATTTTTAATTTTTTTTGACAGTTTAACAGTTAACAGTTTTTTAAATTTAAATTAAATTTTTTAAATTAACATTTTTTTTTAAATTTGAGCAACAGATGTTTGCAAGAGATCCATGTTCTTGCAACATGGTTTAAGACAGTCTAGTGCATCTCAGACAACCTCTTGAGGGACACCAAACTTCTCTCCCATGGTCTTTATCTTSGATTGTAAAGAATCAGAAAAATTGCCAGCAGCAGCAGCAGCATGTCCTGCTTTATGCTAACTTCTATGCGTTTCCAGATGTCTGCAAGCATTACTTAAGTTGGGGACACAAGGCAACAATCAATAACCACTCACAGCAGTGCTTAGTTCCCAGTTACTGGTGTGAAGGAGCAATGGCAGTTAGCACTTCACCTCCTCTTCTGTATATGTAACGTATTTGGAGCTGATTGAATGCTCATAAAATCAATAGGAGGTTTTCCATGCTTGTTCAATCAAACCATTAGAAAGCATGAACTGACATGTAACATCTAATGATGAGGGATGAGTGATAACCAGCTGATTGCTTGTGGTCTGATGGTATTGATCTTCAGATCTGGAAGACATCACGGACAACAATAATTTGACAGAAGTCTGACAAATTTTGTAGAGAGTCCTAGTAAGAGCAAGTTGTGCTTTCCTCCCTCACAGCTTAAAAATGGAGCCAAAGACCAAAGGACTAAAACAGCAACAGCAGCAACATAAGAAACTGCTGGCTGCCATGCTTTCTCAGGACTCCTTTGATTCTGCCCAAAGCACAGCTCCATCTGTAACCGAAGAAGATATTGACAATGAAGATGATGCAATGGAACTGTTGGGTAACTGCAAAAATTATATACATTTTATCATTCTTTTTATTATAGATTAAAAATTATAGTAACCAATATAAAAATATAATAACCGATGAAACATGGATTGGTTTGAATCTGCTTCCTGTTTTTGAGCTGCAAGTTTAGCAAGATGCAGCTGTGTAAAACTGAGTAGATTTTAATATATAAGATTCAGGAATGAATATAATGAAAAGTACTATATAACTGTCAGCTGGATCAAGCTCCCTTAAAAAATGAGCATTTCAGGCATGAATTTATTTTTGACTTCTTAGCTAAAAATAGGCCATGTAAATTTGTAACCTCTATAGGTGTTTTAATGGCAATTTTTTGTACACTGGATTATATGCTGAACTGTGCTCTAGCAGGCTCTATGTTCACTGCTTTCTCCTTGCTCTCTTAATGTCACACAGCTAATTAATGTCATACAAGAGAAAGGAGGGGAGTTGTTTAAAAAAACCTTATTAATAGTCTCCTTTTTTTGACATTTTGAAAAGCTCCAAAATAAGATGCTTGAAGTAATCAGTGACTTTTTTTTTTTTCTTTTTGGATAAATATGAAAATGTAGGATCAAAGTATGTGAAATATGCGGCCTCGAAGGATAGTTTGATATTCTTCTCTTTAGGAATTCTGKTGCAAAATATTTGTACATAAAGAATTGGAGCTGCAGATTGGTCCTTACTCTAAAAACAGAAAAATACCTGGTGCTCTAGTCTGATTCTGTACTTTCACTGTAATTATATTTCTGTTGCTTCATTATTGCCATTTTCACAGAATCATAGAGCCATAGTACAGTTGAGGTTAGAAGAAAGTGCKAGAGGTTCTCTAGTCCTAACCCCTGCTCAAAGCAGCATGAACTCAGGCAGGCAACTCAGGTGGCTTTTGCATGTCTTCAAAGAGGAGGCTCCACAGCCTCTCCAGGCAGCGTGCTTCAGTGCTTGAGCATCTTCACTGTAAACAAGATTTTGTCTTATGTTTAAATAATTAAGACTTAAGGTATACTTTTTTTCAATAATTTCAAGTTTGATTCATGTAATTGTATTTACAAGAAAGTAAGTAGAATGGACTGATCACTCTAATGCCATACTATTTTTTTCTGCATACTTGCTGCTCTGTAGAATAAATTGGTATCTCTGGAATTAATCCATGGATTCCAGTGAAGGCCATTACTGTTTTTGTCTGTAGCAGTGTTATTTCCTTATTTCCTGGTGCAATTTCTAAATCTTTTCAACTTTATCATCGGAATGAGATACATATCTGTAGAGAAACTTGAATGAGTATCTTGAGCTGGCATGATGCACAAGACTCCTCTAATGTAGGGTTCTGTTCCATCCAAGCAGTACAGTAGGTAAGTATGGTGTCATTGGYATCATTTTATGGTGTATAGAATAGATGATTTCCTTGAATTATGTGGGGATAGTGAGGAAAAGGTCAGACAGTTTTGCTTCTCTAATGTCTGTGTCTTTCCGTCTGGACACTTGGATCCTTCAAGATACCAGGAACTAGAAAGGCAATAGAAAGAAAATGTTCTTTTTCTAGTGGCTTGACTTTTGGCCAGAATATTATCTGTATATAAGCAAGTAATGTTTTTATTTTACCTTTTTCAGAACCATATAGCTATAAAATCCAGTCTGTGGTTTCAGTCAGATTTTGTGCCATGCAAATGCTACAACATTTTTCTATCTTACATTTTAACAAAACYGGCAGAGTTTATACCAAATTGATTTAACTGTGAAAGGTCACAAGCTGGACCTAGCTCTGAGGGCCTAGGACAGAACTTTATGTGCTGAGATTCTGAAGCAAACCACTGTTACTCCTCTAGTAACCATGGGTGGAATTATTATAATATAGCCACATTAAAGTAACTGCCTCTGATGATGGAAAGTTTACTATATACATCTTGATTTTAGAACTGGTGTGCTTCTGAAACACTGGCTTTTATTTTAATCCTCATTATGGATTTTGCTGACCTTACACGTTTTAGATTCAATAAAATTGTAAGAATTACATTGCTGCAGAACTTCTCAAAACTTGAGGCTTTGACATGTTGTGAAAAATATTTTATTTTCTTTTAAAAATAACATAGGGAGCCTAAATTWCTATCAGCAAACACAGATATGTTTAATTGCTATATTTTCCAGATCAGTGACTCTATGATATTGGGACTGAATTTTTATATTAGCATTATTTTATACTGCTTTAATCCATTAACTGCTTTGATGCTTTTTGCACATGCAATATAACTACTTTCTACTTGTGGCTTTCTGCCATCACTGAATTGCAGGACATTATTGCATCTAGCTACTTTAGTTGTTTCCTTTAGATTTCATTATTTGAAAAGCTACAAAAAGCTACAAAAACTCATGCCCCTAAGTTTGAATTTTATCAAACAGATTTCACTATTGATAACAGATTACTCAACCATATTTTAATTATGTGGATTTTGTAGAACAAGAAGTCTRTATCTTTGTGTGTATACACAGTTTGACTGATCACTTTGGCTGATATATTTGCCTAGCAAAATATGAAATTGACTATTGCTCTGTTTTCTTTCAATAAGCTCCTGGTAGTCAGATTGTTGATGAAGATTTAACAAGAATGAAACATTCCTAATAAAGGAGTCAGTTAAGCTATTATATTTTTTAATGGTAAGGGTCGATTTCAGAAGGAATATTTTTGCAAAGGCGAAAAAGAACATTGTGATTTCAATTATCATGGTCCATATATAAGGTAAGATGTAAAACAGTACTGTTAACATATTGGTATGCTAACATACCAGTATCGTAACTGGGAAGAAAAGAACCAGCATTTAACATATCTGTAGTATTAACATAACTCTGTACTGCTAATTTTAAGGTGTAGTTTTCTTTTCCTCAAGAATTCCCAAATGTCAACTACTCATTCATTCTTGTGCCCCTGAATGATTGGCAGGTGATTGTGTTTACATTAGAGAAGAGAAGATAAACAGAGAGTTTGATGTTGGTTTTTCATACCTGTAGCATAAGATAATAACTCCATGTGTGGTAGTCTGTTCTTTATATTTTATGCCGCTTTACTAGTTATTCTTTTTCGCTCACAATATCTTTTAGTAACTGTTTTAAGTTTTATAATTTGTTCAAGAGGATATTTGTAAGGCTTAGAAGAAGTTATAAASTGAATTAGTCATTTGGCAACACTGCCATTCACTTGTTTAATTATTTCTTGTTTGATAAAATTAGTTGATACTAAAGTTGATTGTGCATAATATTACTAAAGGAAAAATAGGTAAAATAGAGAGAGAAAATTGCTGCTAAAGGCTCTAKATTCTCTTCAGTTGAAATGAGTTGCATATAAGATAAAAAAAAACCACAAGGTAACAAAGAATACTTTGTTTCAGGTTAGGCAGTGATGCTTTTCTGTTTTTGTAAAGGRGAACCTTGTTCTTAATCTCTATGCATAATTTCTGAGGAGTAGTCACCTGAGGTGCAAGTATCAGCCTAGCCCTCAGTGTTGCTTCTTATCTGGAGGACTATTTAAATTTTGTATCTGGAAATGAACTGCATGAAGTGTTGAGAAAAGGTGAGAAAGATCCACTCACGGAAAAATGGTAATTGCTGCCAGTGAATTGGGAGCACTGAATTAAGATGTTGAGGACACTCCAGGCTTAAAAACTTCCTCTGCTTTTCCAAGAAATGACTGGAGAATTTTCATAAATATTCATTATTTTTATAGAGGAGGACACCTGCAATAGGAATAGCACTATAATATCATGTGTGTCATGTGTGAGAAGGGCAAGGTAATTTAGATTGTGCAGGGATGCCCCAGCTAGCTCTGATCAAGCTAACCTGTTCTTTTCAGACACAGTGTAGCAGTTTAGCAAAGTTAAAGAGTTTATGAAGAGCTGTGTACTACTGTTCAGTTTATAAACAATCCCATTCTCTCTTTGGATTGTGCAGAGGAAGGAAGCACCAAAGAAAGAATTAGGAGTGTCAGGGTACTACCTGAGTAGAAAATGACAGGATTTCTTTYCTTGCTTGGAGGTTTAAAGTGGAGAAGTGGAACAGAGCAAGGTCTGGGGAAGCTTTGTCAGTATTCATTGTACACATATGTGAAACCACTGTGTGTATGGTGGGAGAACAGGATTGACGCAGAGATGTCAGTACAATTTAAAGAAGTAGCAGTAGAGCAAGAGCTGTAGGACAATTACCTAATTTAAGCCATTGTAAGCTAGTTTTTGGCCTCCTTGAGTGAACTCCTTGGCTTTGGAATTGTTCATCAGAGTAGTGGAGAGGAAGAAGTATATTCAAGAGGACATTTGTAAATTTAATGTTCATACTGGGAGGGAAAATTCCCAAGGCAAAAGTTACATCCAAACACTGCAGTGCTTGATACTATTTCTCATGTTAATATGTGACTGACTAGTGAGGTGTTTCTCTGAAGTAATAAGGTGTCTTTTCCTCTAAATAAATTGTTCTTTATTTTATATACAGGCATATCACTTAAAAGAAGATAAATGCTGCCTGTAAGGGCAATCAGGGAGGTATAAATTTACTAGGATTTTGATGTGTGGAAATAGAGAATGTATATTTGTTTCAAGAGAAGTTCCTAGGTATTAGATCCTAATTTATGGTGCTGGTTATAGTATCTGACAGATTCTAGAATGCATAGCAATGCAAAATAGGAGTTGAAACAAAATCAACCAAAATAAAACTATGAATGAAATGATTCAGAATGTGTTTTGCAAGAAATTCTGCCTTTTCAAAATGGAATTTCCTGTTAGGAATGTGTTGGATATTTCTGTAGAAAAACTGATCCCATTGTCATGTACTGAAAACAAAACAGCACCTTGCCAAAACATTCAGATTATGGTTTTCTGATGCATTCTTTACTTACCTAACCCTTTCTAGTGACTGAAATAATATTTTAATAGTAGTCATAGAAAATAATTTTGACTGACGCTTAGTACATATAAAGCTTCCAAGTTCTGATACAGATGATGAAAATGCAATATT